CGAGGGATTTTAAGAGACTACCAGGCAACATATAGTCTATGCTTTTACCATTCCCTTAGGCATAGGAACTAACAACCAAGCAAAAATTCAAGCAGCTTTACATGAGGTTTATTGGTGTCTTCAGCTGGATATGCAGCAGTTCATACGGAGCTTTAAAATGTAAGATTGACCAGCTAGAACTTCTTCCAGGTTAGACACATATATAGGGAGGCAAAGTGTACAGCACACTACCTCTCTAAATCGAGCCACACTTGATACCATTCAGCACTTATATACTCATCAACAACTACCTATAGTAGCCAAATTCACCAACAGGTACCTCTACATCTGCATGTCATATATATTAATTATTCTCTACTCACTTGTATACTTTGACAATATATATATAGGCAAATGATCAAACAACTCATCAAGATACATGGCTGGTACGTATATTATTATATATATTAATGTCATTTTACAAGAATCTACATGGTATATATTAAAAATGTTGTGGTTTGATTGTATATACAATTTGAATGAACCGCCAGTCCTACCACCACAAGAGCCTACTACTTACAAGTGTGTCTCGTTCTTCAAATAACAGAGTTCATTATGGTCTTATATTAACAAGAATCAATTATTCAATTTGACACAACTGTTGGTCACATATAGTAAAAAAACAAAGCCAGTCAAATGGGTGTACAGACAAATAAGACTCGAAAATGCAGCAAGATAACTAAAAGACAAACATTCAAGGTCAATATCCAAATACCAAAAGCTTTTATGTTCAGTTTATCCATGAAAAATCAAATACTAAACAAAAGTAGAAACATCAAAAGCTGAGAAAATGGGACTTATCACCCCTTTCCAACTGAAGGCAATCTACTACTTCACCAAAAGTGCAAATATACTGTAACCCTGAGAGCCTACTCGGCTAAAAGTAGCCACCAGAACTATAAGGAAATGATTCAATACCGTGTTTTGTCCAAGAGGAGCCTAAGAGCCAACTGATCGAGTGTCAAGCATTCACCACCAGCCTTCTCAATCCTTGCCCTGACTGTCATTGTGAACCTCAAAGCACACACCTTCAATTCTGGAACCTCATAAGCCCAAACATTGTCGGTAACTAGTACCCACAAGGACAACAGTCTAATCGTCCTGATAAGCAAATATCAAAACCATCACTTCAATCACAAACATAATAAGATATACGTCTTAATCAACAAAACAAAACACAAAAAAAATCCCTAAACACTATACCTTTCCTTCGGCATAAAAAATCAGCCTCAAGAAAGGAAGTGGAGGCTTGTTAATCTTGCTCATGAAGAGCCTCCTAAGAATCACCTTATTGAACTTGCTTCCGGTCCTCCTTGCCAAACAATATTGTGTGTTTCTTTTCATGGAATACTTACAAGGAGCAAGACCCAATTAACTGAATGTAAGATGCACCACTGACTTTCAGAGTACCCACATCATCACCAAACTGAATCTCAAGATGCCTACCATTGAGTTTCAGATGCACCATTTGCATTATGAAGGGAATGAAAAAGGGTTTAATTCAAAAAGAAGATGCAGAAATTGCCTCTTCCATCTTTCTCAATGGAGGGAATGAAAATGGGTTTAATTC